TTTTTGGTTTGGCTATTCTCCTCTACGGTAGAAATAAAATAAAGATGTTTTATTGAAGTTGTTCTAACTTAACTTGTCTTAAGACACAGAATAGCTTATATTAATTTTGCCAAACAAGAACTTTGTGACGGTACCTCACCCATGCAAGTTATTTGTTATTTTATATTAGGCATAGCCTGCCCTATAGCATGGTGTATTTTTATTTGTTTTGTTCATAAAAGTTCTGTTTTATATATACGCTAAAGTGAGTTTGACGTTGTATTTTGTTGTTGCATTCAAGCAATTGACGCGCGAACTGCCGCTAATTCAAAAGTGAACGTAAAATGCGCATGGCGCTTTTAAGCTATTTAAAAGCGAAGGAAAGCGAGGAAAAGAGTGAATAGCCCGCCCCCGCGGTGATACCGGTATTACCGGTGTTGTCACACATCGATTAACCGGTGGGAAAATTTCCTCACCGTCACAACCCTAAGATGAAGTTGACGATGCTGATTAGCCATCTCTGCAGTACGAGAGAAATGCACCTTTCATATAGGCCTACAGCATTGCAAACGCTGCAGCCTGTTCATTATCAGAATAAAATACAGTCAACCAAACATATAGATACACTATAGAATCTGGATACACTGGTTAATAAAAAACAGCCTGTATTACAATCCGTGCCGTTCAGCCTGAGCTCGGGCCAAGCACATATTTGCTCATGTGAAGAGGATGATTTTTCATGTGAAGAAGACCATGATTTATTTTTTTTTTTTTTGGAAAGCGGGTTAAGTACAAAGCCATCGGCATAGGCCTAATAAATAATAGTCTGTTGCATTCAAATTCAAATAGCCAACATTGTGAATATGGAAACATTTGGATTTGTGCCAAATGAGAGAGTAAGAAAGAGGATTATAGGGCCAAACAATTAAAAAAAAACATCTCCAGAATAAAGTCATTAGCCTATAATGCGAGATTGAACTCATTAAATATCCAGAAAAATGTAGAAATAAAATAGAGAATAAAAATAATTACATTTTGAGAATAAAGTCGTTCATCAGCATCGTCAATTTCATCTTTGCAGACAGTGACTCAGAAAACAGTTTAGTAATAAGTAGCCTAAATAAAATATGTTCTAGCTATTTATGCAATCCGCTTGAGCACGGAATAGGCTATAGCCTATAAAACGCTCGTTTAGTAGGCTATAGTTAATTTAATAGTTTAATTAAATATAAACGTGTGATTACTAATGGCTTAAATGGGCAACTATAATAGCCCTTTTAATAATAATAATAATAATAATAATAATATGCGCACATGTGACTGGGGCTAGTGCCATCTATTGGTGGCTGATCGGATTGGATCGCGAGCTGTGTGTGTGGATTGGGCAAGGCTAAAAGGGCGGAACGAAAGTCTCAAAATTCAAATGAATCAAATAGAATAGACTCAGAAGAGACGTGAATGAATGCACGCGTGTCGCCTGATCCACAAATGCACATTTTAATCGCTACATGCACAAATCATGATACTTTAATACAAACTATAACATTTGTATTCACAAATATGTCTCTATTCGAACAAAA